TCTATTTTTAGAAGAGAAAAGAATATTTTTTTAAAAAACTGCACCAATAAGTTTCTAATTAGTCCCTCCTCATTCGTTAATATATAATAAAAAGTTGAATAGATTTGCCAGAACAACAGTTTTTAGGAACATTTTATCACATTTTTGAAAACAACAATCTCAATAGAATATGTATAGAGTAAAAATATGCCAACCCTAGCGAGTGACTAGACTACTGCCTTAATAGTGTATATACAGCTGCGATGAAAGCGATGAAAGTGAACGATGTTGATCCTCCTGATGGTGTGGGAGTAACGGAAGGTGTGATACATCCATCGTATCCACAACAGCATCCGGATACACTAGTGCCGTTGATGGAGGAAACACAGCTGTCTGCCATTCCTGAAATTGCGATTTAAAAGTGCTTGAGTCATATTAGTTAATTTTGCTGCTGCAGAAAAGAGGATCAAGCCATACCTAATCCTGCGCATACACTAACGGGATCGCATGCGTATATGTCAAGGACATGTGAGACTCCAGTGACGTTGGTGGCATAGGAGAGCTTGGCGCATTGTCCTTTGCACGCGACGAATGTGCTAAATAAGCACTTTATTCTCGGAAGGCAAAGTCCTTATGTGAAAACGTTAAACTGTTTTCTAATCTCACTTGTCAGTCGTGATAGCTGAACCATCAACGTAGATGCCGGACTGGCAGGCAATAGGGGTGCCAGTGAACTGAAATAAAACAACTTAGGAATCCTTCCTTTTCAAAGAAATCAGCTGGCAGCCTACCGCTGGTGCCGTGGTGTTAGTCTGAATGGGCTCTTTCACATTACAGTTGTTGGCATAGTCACAACAGCAAGCTGTTACATCGGCATCTTTGTAGACGGGACCGCAGCTGTTGTCGACAGTTAAAGCCCTAAAAAGATTATGTACTGCCTTATTTTGGCAAAAGGAAGAGATTTGCTTACTTGCAGACTGAAGTAGGAGCGCAATGGTAGGACTTCAGCATGTTTCCAGCCAAAGTGGTTTGAAGAGAAGCGCATTTGCCGTTGCATACCATCTAGAATCAAGAAGTAATTAGCTTTAACAATGAATTATCCTCTCTCTGATACCTCTGATCCGACGTAGTATCCGGGTGCGTGATAGATTCCAACGTAGCAGATAAGGTCAGTTCCTGGGAACTGAAAAAGGAGATTTTCTTCTAATACATCCAGGTACTTTGGGACACTGTAGAAGCGACATTTGCGCATCAACGAAATGTCAACGAAATGTTTAGTTAAGGCGCAATTGCTATGTCAAATTCTTTCTTGCAAATCATCGTCATACCTGGAATTCCACATTGACATGAAGAGTGATCATCCTGTTTTTCTTTGTACATTTTAATTTTCTAGTTTGAGCATAACATCTTAATTTCTAGTTTGTACCTTCTGGGTCCCATTTTTTTCGGAAATTATTGATGCGATTTTGATTAACTCTACATAGTGAGCAGATTATTATCACAGTTCCGTTCTAAACTCGCAAATTGCATTTGTGTAACTAATAGACGACAATCTTATGTCAAGATTCCTTCTAAAGAATCTAATGTAGAAGATTTTGCATTGCTACTGTTCTTTTTTAAATCTATAGACTCAAGCCATAAAAATGAAACTTTGGGGCTTACTGTATTGGTGAGTGGATTTAGGCAGGCGTCAGTGTTACAACAGCATCCGCCAAGACCTGGCTCTACGGTGGCGCACTGATTGGACATATCTAAAATTAATCATTCATGAATGAAGTTTCACCCGTACGTCATCCGATTCAACTGACTGAGTGCTCTGCAGACTGATGTTGGATCACACATATACAGAGAAGCTGTGTGCGATTGATTATTCATGGTGGTGTTAAGAGTTACGGAAGCGCAATCGCCGAAGCAAGTAGTGTATCTAGAAGTTATGCTGCTATGAGTAGTAAGTGTGGATTTTACAGAAAAGGTGCTTTTACCCAGCGTTAGAGATTGGATTGCCGTCAACATACATACCAGTCCAGCAAGAGATTGGATACTCCGACACTGGTGAAGGTGTTGGCAATGGTATCTCAAATTTAGTGATTTAGTAGGTGTATTTTAGGTGATTGTTAGATAATTTCTTAACTCTTTTGCACTCACATCAGGTCTGCTTGCGATGTTACAGTTTGGTGTGTCGCAACAGCATCCACTAACAGCACGATCTCCTGCTAACGAGTTGCAACCATTGTAGGCTGCGAGCGACCTTTAAATTTTTGGATTTTTAGTATAACAATAGCTTTTCCATCAACTTTTGGGAGCATAATTTAACTCCCAGATAGATACACTCAAATATCAGAACTCACTTGCAAATGCTGGTTGACGCACATTGGAAGGTGGTAATATTGTCGCCGTTGACGATACCATTAAGAGTAGAGCACATACCCATGCACGGCGTCTGAATGAAGCATTTTTATAATTGCAAAAGCGAAACTATGGAGTGGAAGGGAGCGACAGGAACTCACTATGGCTCCCACATTGATACCGGCATTGGGAGCGTTGAGTCCAACGTAGCACATTAGTGGATTGTTTGCAGGTGACTGAATTTAGCACTGATTACTGTGGACAGGGCTGATCAGTCCAATTTTTAATCGATTTTGTCTAAGAGCATAATTTTGGCATTTTTTGCTAACTATAATTGTTTTTGAAAGATCACTGTAAGGAAAGAGATTGAATTGTGACTTAATTGGGAATATATGACTGTTGCAAAAATGTAATCTTGGTGATCACTCCTCTGATGAAATCTTCTTGCTTCATGCAGTCATTTTGTCAAAAGGCCGATATACTTCAAAAAGGTCTTTATTACTTCTTAAGAGCTCTACATACACCTATGAGACTGTACCATCTCATATCCATGTCCATAATCATTCGCTGAACTCTCAAAAAATAGTTATGATATTTTCTGTGATCAAATGGAGCGTTTCCATGGTTTGTTACAAAAAAAAGCCAAATAATTTCAAAAGCAAGCTTCTGGTTGAGTTTGTATGGTTGTTAATAATCTTTCTGAGTAGTTTAATTTGCTCAACTACACTTGCAGTTCATTTTCTTCACATTTTTGCTATTTTGTAAATGATAATCATTTTCTTATGCTATATTAATGCCAATTCAATTCAAGATATTATTAGGCAAACCCTGGTTGGCGTAAGGCAAGCATCATCATTACAGCAGCATCCAGAAAGTCCTGTCTCTACGGTAGCGCACGTGTTGCTCATATCTGAAAAAGGATTCTTGAACGCAGCTCAATTCTCCTAAGGTCTTTGAAGGGTGCATACTGAGTCCTCGACAGACAGAGGTTGGATCGCACATGTAGATTGTGGCGTTGGCTTGTGTATTGTTCATGGTAGTTTGAAGTGTTACACTGGCGCATTCTCCATAGCAGGATTGGAATCTTTAGGAATTTTCTCCAGCATTATCTTCATCATTTTGCAAAATTTAGTCTAACTTACCCAGCACTTGTGATGGCATTTCCGTTCACGTAGATTCCGGTCCAGCAAGAGATAGGGAATTCGTTGCTTGGAGCTGGGACTGGGATATTGATCTAAAAAACCAAAAAGGTAATTTTTTTTTCAAAATCCAGCGTCTAATTACACTAACGTTTGTGATGTTGGCTTGCTCGACGTTGCAGCTGTTCTTGTAATCGCAGCAACATCCTTTCACTGCACGATCTCCAGGCAGTGATGCGCAAGAGTTATGTAGAGGTAACGATCTAAGAGCGATAGAAGATGAATCTCCAAAATTTCTCCTGTTCTATTTCCTGTGCAACTTACTTGCAGACTGGAGTGGGTACACACTGGAAGGTGGTTACGGTATCGCCATTTACAATTCCACTC